GGGGTTGTTCTTTTTTTTTTTGGTTCCAGAAAAGAAATGAGAGACAAGAAAACATCTCTGATTACGATTAAAAGGAACAATCTCAAATAGACCAAAATCATGTGATCGAGAAAATAGTACCTATAATCACATGAAAATCATGAAAGTGGGTACTCGTCTACTAATGCCTAGCTACATCGGATTGACTACTACCCCGAGGACTCCGCTTTGATATCATCTAAAGAGTCAATGTAGGGGGAGAGGGGAGGGAGGAGGGGCTAGGGGGTGGGTGGTGCAGAAAAACAAAAAAAAATAGAAAATTAAAAATACAAAGAAAAAAGTAAAAAAAAACATTTGAGGGGAGGGGGGAGTTGGCTGGGTGGTGCAGAAAAACAAAAAACAGAAAATTGAAAATATAAAAAAAAAAAAAGAAAAAGAAGAAGAAGGTAAAATTGGGGCAACTAAGTAAATTTCTAGATAAGTTAGGTTGAGATCCCTTTGTTTTAGGTGAGTTTCATGGGTTGTATTCGGGTTTCTTAATGGTTCAGAATAGACTATAAAAAATAGAGAAATTTTCATAAAGCACTATCTTTTAGTAGTAATTAGCTATCTATAGATACCATTTGCTATATTACGGATTATAGATACCTTTTCTGTGATTATATGATGTATTTGATGTATTTAAGCTACTGTATTCATGAATACAATAGCAAAAATAGGCGTGAATCAGGGAAGTCCACCTAATCAGTTGTTGTATTCGAGTGTATTCGACTGTATTCATGGCGTGAAACATGGGATTACAGCTGGACAGATTACTGTATTCGACTGTATTCACGGTGTGAAACAGGGGATTACACTGTTTTAAAATGGAAAGTGTATCAATTAACATAATAGACTACTAATATAACTCAACAAACTCAATTATAACACACAAAATTTGTATTTCCGGTTATAAAAAAGATTCTCAACTGGAAAAACCCCAAAAACATAGCAATCTTCAGAGAAATTATATAATACATCTGAATACATAAATTATATTAATTGAAAAAATATATCAATACATAGAATACAGCGGGATACATTGAAATACAATGAAAAAAAGACAGTGAATACAATAAAATACACGGAATACAGCGAGATACATTGAATTACAATGAAAAAAAATACAATGAACACAATGAAATACATGAAGCCACTCCGGCGAATCTGTGGCGGCTTAAGAGGAGAATTGGTTCGAAAGCTTTGTAACGGAGGATTTCAGGCTGGACTACTCGATCGGAACGCTGTCGATTTTGATGAGGCATTTCCACTCCTAGGGCTTGATTTCGATGGTCGTTGCTTTGATTTCGATGGCCATTGCTTTGATTTCGAACCTCCATCTGAAAGAATGAGAGATCTAAACAATACACTCCATAGGGATAAAGAACCCATGATTATACAAACAAGCCCTTGAATGACTTAAAAATTCAAGAAGAGACACTTAAAAAGATACTGGAACAGAATGGAGGGACAGAATATTTGAAGCAATGGGGTTTGAATGACAGAACTGATCCTCAGACTTTCAAGAATTGTGTCCCTATTGTCACTCAAAATGATTTAGAGCCTTATATTCACTCACAATGATCTTTCTCCAGAATTGTCTGAGAGTTGACTACGGAGAGCACGTTTCCGTTTGAACTTATCTAGTTTTCTTGGGTTGTGATTTTTTGCTTGCTTGCCTGTGAAGATCCAATGAGTTCAGCCGAAGAATTTTCCGACGAGGAGACTGTTCGCATGATAAGTGTAGTGAAATTCTGGAGGGTATTAAGATAAAGGGTTATGTTTTACAATGGGATGTATCAAAGTAGAGAGAGAAAGAAAATAGTGTAACTGATTAGCGTATTTAGTGATTTAGGGCTAGGAGGTAACCAAAATTAAATAATTTGCTATAAACCTTAAAAGGTATCTATAGAATATAATTTTTTTAAATGGTATTTATTTAAAATAAATAAGGTGTTAACCTTTGCTATAGGAGGTAAAAATTCCTAAAAACTAATGGGTTAACTTGGCCTCAGCTCAAATAGACCCATGAGCTAAAATATTTGTAACCCAACCCATTAATCTATGGACGGGTTGGGCGGGTTAGATGAATTTGGACTCAAATTACCAGCACAACTATTGAAGGGGTAAGTTCCAAAGACTGAGTTTGTAAACTTTAAGATTTTAAATACATTACATTTTGAATTTGTGATGAAATTAGTAAACATAACTTGCTAGGAATTGTTCTTTGGACTTGACAAATATTTAATGGCAAACATAACTTGCTAAGAATGTAGAGTTCCTCATAATGACAAATATTTTCCAGAAGTCTGAAGAAGGAGATGCGACTGCACTTAGAACCCCTCTCATATTTACCTACCAAGGCATGACATATTACTATATTTCGGGATTTGCTTTAATCAAAGCTATAGATTTGCGATGGTTGGCTTATTACCTTTATCTAATATTTTTCCATATATATATATATATATATATATATACACACGAACTCTACATTCTAAAATGGATCAAGAAATAAGTGAACCAAGATCAAGTCCAATTCTCTAATGTAGCACTGTTATGAATTTTGATGTACTTAATGCTATGTTTTGAAAAAAACAAAAATACTTCTCCGCTGGTTGATTAAAAATATCGATAATTTAATTTCTTCATAACGGCTTTAAGTTATATAGAGAAACATGGTAATTTTTTTTTTTGTTTAACTGACCATACTAAGTTAGTACTTTTCATCTTGTCAACTAACCGACACTTATCTCCAATTAGTTTTTAAGTGACTTAAAGTATAACAAACTTTAACTCTTTGATAATTGTACTTTTAACGAAGTTATTCGGGAGAAGGTGAGCTTAGCTCCTATGGATGACAAGATGCGGGAAGCGAAGCTCAGATGGTTCGGGCACGTACGAAGGAGAAGCCCAAATGCTCCGGTAAGGAGGTGTGGGCAGTTGATTTTGGATGATACGAGGAGAGGGCGGCCTAAGAAGTATTAGGGAGAGGTGATCAGATAGTGGCTTCAGATTTCCGAGGACATGGCCCTTGACAGGAAGCTGCAGAGGTCGAGTATTAGGGTTGTAGGTTAGGAGGTAGTTGAGCATTGTTCTTCTTTGAACATGTGTGAGACTAGTCTGATAGGGTTTTGTCTTAGACTGCTAGTGGTTCATGTTATGTTCACACTATTCTACTGTTTTTCTTTGTGCCGGACCTTATCTACTGATTATTGTTAGTGCTTTGCATCTATTCTCTGGTTCTTATGTTGCTGTCATTATTTTTATTGTTTTATGTTGATAGTACTGATATATTGTCTCTTTTCGTCTTCTTGAGCCGAGAGTCTTCCGGAAATAACTTCTCTATTTTCTCTGGTAGGGGTAAGGTCTGCGTATACTCTACCTTTCCCAGACGCCACTTGTAAGATTTTACTGGGTTGTTGTTGTTGTTGTAGTAGTATGACTTAGAGATAGAGCCTATTCAAAAAAGAAAAGAAAAAGAATTTTCTGTATCAACTATCAACTACTCCCGCTGTTTACTTTACTTGTTTACAACGGGCTTTGCACTCTCTATAAGAAATAATAATTGAAGTACATATTTTATCATAATAATAATAGCATTTCAATTTTTTTAAAAATAATTTGGGGATTGAGTAGTTAACTAAGGATAAAACAAAAAAAAAATCTCTTAATTTACTAAAATTACAAATATAAAAATATTTTTTTAATATATTTATAGTGGACAAATAAATGTAAACGAAAGTAATAGTCACTTAGATTGATTGCCTCTTTAAAGTTTAACCGTGTTTAACATCACAGAAAACGATTTAAACATAGTTGCTATGAGATATCAAATTATCAATATGATTTGATAAAACAAGAAGGACAAAGAGAGTCAGTAAGATGAAAAAAAAAGGAACTAGCTAGTTTTATTTTGTTTAAGAAAACTAAACTCTATAGAACGAGTAAAAGGACATTCAATAAATTTAATAAATAAGAGCTCAAGGTTTCTTTTTCTTTTTTTCTTCCCCTCCTTAAAAGAAGTTTCTGTAAGTGTTCTGTCTTTACCACTCTGCTAAGTTGCTTAGCCCTAGATATCTTGAATTATATGTTACACTTAACTATCAGAATGTCGGATTCCTTTCACTTTAGATATGTGAGTTGGCCCTGCAGGTGGGGTTCTCTGTCTATTGCTGCTTAAATCATTTAACTGTTTTTTCCCATTTAAATTTTTTTATATCCATTGGTAGGTAAAGCATAGCCTACAATTTTATATGCTGCCATGCACAGTAGTTGCCCTAAGGACCTTTTCTTTAATTTAATTCTTTGGCTTTAGTTTTACTGTTATTTTCTCTTAACTTACTCTATGTTACTCCTATGTAATATCCTTGTAAATAATACAAAAGATTGTGGTGGGGGTGGTGTGCATTCATTTTTAACCAAAAGTCTTGGGTTCAAATTTTGGAAATAAAGTAGGAATTTTTACCTCCTATAGCAAAGGTTAACACCTTATTTATTTTAAATAAATACCATTTAAAAAAATTATATTCTATAGATACCTTTTAATGTTTATAGCAAAATATCTAATTTTGGTTACCTCCTACCCCTAAGCCACTAAATACGCTATTCAGTTACACTATTTTCTTTCTCTCTCTACTTTGATACATGTCATTCTCTCCCCCCATCCCATTAAAATTTCCGCTCTCCTACTCCTTCTAACGACATCTTCTCTTTGCTTCACTTTAATCAATGCTTCAAAATCGAGCGACCCAATTCCTACACCATGGCCAAAACAATTCCACTCGATTCTCTTCATGAATAACACCAAAGGGAATCTTCAGGTTGTTGATTTGTGGTAGAATTATCCCAATGGCAGGAACTTCAACATTATCCAAAACCAATTGGGAAAGCGATAAAATCGAGGTTCTCAACTTCCGTCATCTTCAATCAAGATTCAAGCTTTAACAGAGTCCTTATTCTGCCACCGTTGCTCGACGGCAGATTCGCCGAAAATTAGGGTTTGTTCTTGAACAAAGACGACAGAGTTTGGGGCTGAGCAACTTGATTTTCTATTAATATATTTCAATGTATTTTCAACGTATCACGCTGTATTTTCATGTATTTCATTGTCTTTTTTTCATTGTAATTCAACGTATTTCGCTGTATTCCACGTATTTCATTGTATTCACTGTCTTTTTTTTCATTGTATTTCAATGTATCCCGCTGTATTCTATGTATTTCATTGTATTCACTGTCTCACTATATGCCATGAATGTATTCATATATCTTTTTAATTAATATAATTTATGTATTCAGATGTATTATATAATTTCTCTGAAGATTGCTATGTTTTTGGGGTATTTTTCGGTTGAGAATCTTTTTTATAACCGGAAACACAAATTTTGTGTGCTATAATTGAGTTTGATGAGTTATATTAGGAGCCTATTATGTTAATTGATACACTTTCCGTTTAAAAACAATGTAATCCTCCGTTTCACGCCGTGAATACAGTCAAATACAATAATCTGTCCAGCTGCAATTCCATGTGTCGGATATCATTGAGAAAGAAATAGGAAGAAGTGTTATCGAACGATTTCCTGCAATTCTTCCCAGTATGGAATGAGTAAAGAATCAAGCTACAAGTCTCACGCCATGAATACAGTCGAATACACTCGAATACAACAACTGATTAGGTGGACTTCCCTGATTCACGCCTATTTTTGCTATTGTATTCATGAATACAGTAGCTTAAATACAGCTAATACATCTTATAACAACAGAAAACGTATCTACAATCCGTAATATAGCAAATGGTATCTATAGATAGCTAATTACCACTAAAAGATAGTGCTTTATAAAAATTTCTCAATAAAGTATAATCTTTGATAGAGAGTGCTTGATCCTCTAAAGTGAGACTTTCCCGCGTGAATATCGAATTAGTCATGCTCCAAAATAGATCTATACAAAACATCAAATAAAAAACTAATTTTTTTCTTATTGTAAATGTAAGTTGTGGTTTCGAGATGTGAAAATATCTCTTTTAAGTAAATGTAAAGGAAGGATTGCATATGGTATATACGCTCACGCTCCTTGCCCCCTTCTTAGTGGCATAGTTCAGTTTATCGGAGAAGGTTCAATTAAATTCCTTTGTCAAAAAGTGACACCGTACAAAAAAACAAAAAAACAAAAAAAAAATATATATATATATATATATCGCCAAGTATTGGAGTAAGCTTTTTATGATAGTTTGTGGTAATATTGCCTTTGATGTCCTTATTTTGCATCAGCAATTAGTATTGACTAATACAGTAAATTATATTGCACTAAAGTACCGTTAACTGACAAATTCAAGCAAAATAAATTGCATTTACTATTAACACCATGAAGCTTGGCTTAATTTGCTTAATGATCTTATATTAAAAATTAAAAAGTGTATCTTATTTAACAATGAAGTGTTGGGGCACATTTAACTCTCTCTCTATATATCTTGGTCCATATATCCCATAAACTATCACTACTTTTTCCATGCATGCAACATGACAGATATGACAGCCACCACATTTTGTATACTATATAATATATGGGCAAGGAATTAAGGTGGTGGTTGGGGGGGGGGGGTGTACAACTCAAGAAGTTTTATTTAAGAAGAAGCTTAAAGGTTAAGAAAGTAAAGATATTAACCCCTCTCGAACTACTAAAAAGTAAAAAGATACAAAAATGAGACTAGAGTAAGAACAAACCAGGACCCAAATTGTTATGTATATATATGCTACTATCATAAAGCCCTTCACTTTATTTGAGCTCCATTATTCTCATATTCTCTCTTTGCTTTATCTTTTCTTGCTTTGCTTTCTTTCTCTCTCCCTTTGGCAAGAAGAGTTTAGCCTTCTCTCTCTCTCTCCACCTTCCAATTTGATGTGATTCTCCACTAACAATATCCCCCTTCCAAAAAACCCCATCTAACTTTACAAAAAAGAATTTTAAAGATCATTCAAGAATAAGCTATGGTTTTTTCCTCAATTCCAGCTTATCTTGATCAAGCCAACTGGCAACAGGTATGGTTTTTTCCCACTTCATTTTGATGCTTAATTCTAACCATGGCAGCTTCTTTGCCAAAAAAGCAAAAGAATTCATTAAAGATAATATTCTTCTCACCTTTATTAAAAAAAATAAAAAATTCTTCCTTCTTTTTTCATCTTTAAATTTCTTGCATATACTTGATATCTTAGTTTCTTCTTCTTGTTTTTCTTCTTTTTCAGCAAAGTGGAGGTAGTATTCCAAATCATCATCAGCTCACATCACCACTATCTCAGACTGCAACACCGCCGCCACTACCACCTCCACCACCACCACCACAACCTCATGGCAGTAGTGGTGGTGCAGGTTCTATCAGGCCGGGCTCGATGGCTGATCGAGCCCGGTTAGCCAATATACCTATGCCGGAGACAGCCCTAAAATGCCCTCGATGCGAATCATCAAACACCAAGTTTTGCTACTTCAACAACTATAGTCTTTCGCAACCTAGACACTTTTGCAAGACTTGTAGAAGGTACTATTAAATAAATAAACTAGATTCATCTCAAGTACATAAGTTTTCTTATATAATTCATGTATTAGGAAATTAACCTGAGGATGCATGTATGATTTATTCATAAATACCTAAGTACTGTAGCCATTTTATATAAGTCAAATTAGGATCAGCAAACAAGAATACTTTCTTTCACTTGTCTTCGAGAAGAAAATGATTGATTTTTCCAACAGGTATTGGACAAGAGGCGGCGCTCTCAGAAATGTGCCCGTGGGCGGCGGTTGTCGGAGGAACAAAAGAAGCAGTAGCAAAAGCAGTAACAATAACAGTAACAATACTTCCAAGTCTCCAGCTTCTAGCACAAGTACTGATGGTCGTCAAGCTGCTAATAATAATTCTGGTTCTACAAGCACAATTTCTTCACACAGTAATAGTTTTTCTGGTCCAACATCAGCAACTAGTTTATTAGGTCTAATGTCCCCTCAAATTCCACCTCTACGTTTCTTGTCACCTTTAGGTCAATTATCTGATCATCATCATCAGTTCAGTACTCCTGGTAATAACATGAACTTGAATTTTTCTACAACTGGTAACGTATTAGGCGGTACTAGTGAAGGCATGATGGTTAATAATAATAATTTGCTCGGTGTTGGTGGTGGTGCTGGTGGTAGTGGAGTTGCTTCGCTTTTATCAAGTGTAAACATTGAACACTGGCGGATGCAGCAGCAACAAATGGCACAGCAATTTCCTAACTTTTTTGGCGGATTTGATCCGTCTAATTCGCCTTCTGGTGTTAATAATTACCAGTACTTTCAAGGTGGTGTTAATGAGGGTGTACAGTTTCTTGGTGGTAATGAGAGTACTACAAGTCAAATTAGGCCGAAAATCTCGACTTCAATGCTAAATCAGATGGCTTCAGTGAAGATGGAAGATAATAATCATAATCAGGATCAATCAGCTTTGTCAAGGCAGTTGTTAGGAATTCAAGGGAATGAAAATTGGAATACTGCTAGTGCTTGGAGTGATCTTTCTGCTAGTTTTAGCTCTTCTTCTACTAGCAATGCCTTATAAAAAGTCAACAAAAATGTCCTTTTTTTCTCAGAGCGGTCAGTTAAGGGCCTTAGCTGGTGATTTGGATGGCTTCCTCTCGACAGTGAAGCTTATTTCCCATCGTCTCACTAGTCGATATATTTTATCAGCAAAAGCTTCTAGTGAAGATCATCTAAAAACCCTAGATTTGGTAGTTTTTTTTTTTTTTTTTCATTTTAAGTTTTTTCTTTAGATTTATTTGTAGTTTGCTATGGTAAAGTGGTAGAAGATGTTTGAAGATTGAGTGTACTTTTTAATAGTAGCTTTTATGTAGACATGAAGGTCTAATTTTCAAAGTAATTGGCTCTAGGTGTTGGGCTGTAAAGGTGATCATATGGCTAACATTTCTAATGGTATATCATCTTCATGTTTGAAATTTTATGGAATTTGTGTATTTGGATTCGACTCCTTTAACGTCAATGTTTCTCCCTCCCTCATAATTAATTCCTACAATTCTCTTCATGGATTTATTATTGCTTGGCATATCCCATTTATCCACAAAAAATAAATAAAAAACTACTTCACATTTTTAGACATTGATAATTGCTTATCTCTAGCAATGGATTTTTAGCTAGTCATGATGGTGGTGGAAAACACTGTTGTTAGAGTATATATATATAAGATTAGGAAACTTGACTTAGTAATTGAATTTGAATTTTAAGTAGATGGCTGTCAAGATACACCAATTGATAAAATTATGTATCCCACTTTAATATTATTCGAGCTGCAACTTAAAATCCATTTTATTATTACAATATTAGTGTAATATTGTAAGCCCTCTCAATTCACAATTTTGTGAGCTATAACGGATATATGTATCCATCATTTTGTAAAGGTTTGAGGATGCTCAACCTACATAGTAACAGAGGTAAGGTGAAGTCCTCCTCCATTGTATTTATATATTTATCTATATATGTTTGTCCAGGCTCATGAAGGAACTGGATAGCTTTAACCAAAAAAAAAAAGAAATTACAATATTAGCGTAAATTTACATGTTTTACGTGTACAAATTATGGACTATTATTGTAGTTATCTTTTGAATAATCTCATAGCATTAAAATTCTTTTACACAGTCGATCAGTGTAAAAAGTTACGAGTACGTACTTTCTAGTTGAAGTTTAATAGCTTACATTTCATCCACTTTGCTTGTCAATTTGGGAGCTCAAGTTTTTCCAAGATCATCATCTAGCTAGAACATTAATGTTGTTTAGTGTTTGTTGCAAACTTCAAAATGAGGGTTTTAATATGAAATTGTATATTCTTCAGTTTATTATAGGACAGTAGTATATAGTACTATATATGCCAAGACACGTTTGTGTTTAAGCTTTTGCCTCTTTGTGATGATGCTTAATAATTATTCTGTTTGATTGGTGTTAGTCACTTCATGTTCTGGGGATTTCAACATATTATGCTTTTTAATGGGTGTAAGATATGAGCTGAAATGGAAAGGAAAAAAAAGAATATTAAGAAGCAACTTTCTAGAGATTCAGTTGCTTCCAGCTACACTACTAGAGATTTTGATATTAGGAATTTGGTAGTTTTCATTTTTTTAAAATTGCTCTCAATCTCATCCACGTGCCTCATTTTACAAAGAAAAACATTGGGAGTATATTTCTATTAGAGTTTAGAAAATGAAATCTGGAATATTAATTTAAGATTGGCTGGATTTGTAACGAAAATTTCATCTTTTATTTTACGAATTGCAAGCTATGAAATTGTATAGAAAAATAAAGAACTCGTCTTGAATTCTTGAGAATGAAGTCAAACTCCAAGAAAACTACGTAGTATTTGTAGTAACAATAAAAGATAAAAGTTTACGATGACTTTTCTTTAATGTGAAATATCTTAGTATATTCTAAGGTCAAAACAGAACAATATCAGGCCTATTGTTTAAGAGACTGACTAAAAAGGGCAAAACCTACCAAATTCATTCCATAATTACGCTAACATACAAGAGAGGCTGCAAAATATTGGGGTCCAACCAGGGGAGGAGCTAGCCTATGAGGTGCGGGTTCGGCCGAACCCAATTACTTTTGTTTCAATATTATATTTGTACTAGAAAGTTTATTAAATATGTATAAATATTTAACTGCGAACCCAGTAACTAAGACGAGTTATGAGTTCTTTGGCAAATCCAGAACTCATAAACTTCAAATCCTGGCTCCGCCTCTGGTCCAACATGCAACTGCACAAAAAGATAAAAATACGCAAAATGCTACAAAAATTGTTTAAAAAGGTAACGGAACCAGACATTAGTCAAAATAAAACTAAGGTCTCAAACGGTCAGACATGGACTTTTTCAGTGGCAGATGGAGGAGATAAATAACAGCTGCAACTGGAGCATATATATATATATATACACATATATATATATATATATGTAAGAATTTCGGATAATCTTTAAAAATATTATTTTTTGAATTCATAATTTCAAAAGTTTAATTAATGGAATTCATAACTGTAAAATTGATCCTATAACGTTTAAATCTTTGTTTCGTCTCTAAACTCCAGCCACTATGACGTAAAATTTCTGGTGAAGACGAACAAGCGCATATCTTGTTTGTTTTCAATTTTCTAGTGAACCTATATGTTGTTATTTTCTTTTGCTCATGTCTTGTTTGTTCTCAATTTTTATCTAACTACAATTTTAATCCGTTTTAAGTTCTTTCAATAAGTTATACAGATATGAAGTTCATAGCTAGTTCTTGTTACCTGATCAAATCAATAGATATTAGGTTAATTTTTTTTTTAATTTGAAGCTAGTTTTGTATCTTCTACTTGCAAAAAATCCAAGTTATTTCCTTTATCCAATTCTAGGGATACTGGGAAAATATATACCTAGAAGATAGTCCCTAAGAAACTCGTACTGTTTGTGCTAACTATACATAACACGATCATTTGCTATAATTCCAATAATGATGGTATATCTTAAACATTAGCCAATGATGCAATATACAATGAGAAGATTCTTGGGGCTTGAGTAATGATTCCATAATAATAATTCTCAGACTGGGAAAAAAAGCAATGATGAGAAGGAGAGAGAGAGAGAGTCAAAGAGGGTAAGACAAACAGTACTGTTACAAAGTACAAACATAAGAATGGGGACAACCTTCTTAAAAGACTCGAAAAATATGCCCACTCAATTCCACACACACAAAATCCTTCTCTTCCCAAACTCCAAGGCTCTGTTATTAGCAGTATATTTGGTACTCCCACGGTTCCAATCTACGTGAACTTGTTTGACGAGGCATAGAGTTTAAAAAAAAATAAAAACTGTTTGAATTTGTGGTCCTTGACAAGTTAAAAAGGGGTCCAAAGTATTTGTGTGGTTATAAAAAATTTTCATTAAGGGTAGAATTGAAAATTTAAGCTAAATTGTTTCCAAATTTAGAAAGGGGTCATTCTTTTTGGAACGGACCAAAAAGGAAATAGGAACACATAAACTGGAACGGAGGGAGTATATTATTTCTTTTTGTTTCAATATATATGGCGGTGTTTGAAAAGAATTAGAGTTTACGAACGAACAAAGGACTTTTGAAATATGTGGCTTAAAACAACCCATAAATATTTATTTGATTATAAATTATATTATTAAGGTAAAATTGAATTTTTTTCTAAGTTAACCTGATTCTGAAAGGAAATATGATATTTTTTAAAATAAACTAACAAGAAAAATAGGTAGCCGGTGCACAAAGTATTCAAAGTTCATACATGGTCCAAGTAAGGACCGCATTACAAAGGGTGTGATATAGGCAGTCCACGAAGGGGGTTCAAAAATTTTTTTTGTAGCTACTAGGAATTGAACACATGATCTTATGTAAATTTTGAACACCCTTGACCACTAAACTACACTTTTGGATTGTGTTAAGGGTGTTCAAAACTTAATATATATAGGTAAAAAATAAATTTTGCCTTATATATACAGTGTAATTTTTCGGTGAAGGGTGTTCGGATGAACACCCTTGCGCCCCCCTAAATTCGCCCCTAAGGCAGTCCATCCTAATGCAACCATTAGTGATTACTTCCAAGACTTGAACCACGACCTATAAGTTACACGAAGATAACTTTATTATTGCTCAAAGATTTCCCTTCACTAAGAAAATATGACACATAAGCCGGGACAGATAGAGTATGGTTCAATTTCTTTTTGTTTACTATATGTTGGTAGAAGACTTCTTGAATTCTGTTCCCAATTTGCCCCCAAGAATCACGCAAAAATTTAAAATAAAGTTAGATGAGTGAGATCATCAGAGAGCAGTCAAAGAAAACAAAAGAATACTGAAAGACTGAAACAACGTGACTACTAAGGTTGAAGTGTGCATATTATAATCCATTTTTCTTGTCCTGATTCGTTGCACGACATTCTAGGAAGAATAGAACAGTACTAACTGTTCTTCTGGTTTATTACATGGATCATTCGTTCTTGATTTTAACGAACTGGTCTAACTTAATTTGTTTCATGCTTCTGACAAAGAAAAATATGATTCAGAGACCGTATCTTATAACCTAGTAAAGAAAAATTAGAAGTATGATCTATGCAGATTCATTTTTTTCTTTGGCTAGCTTTTGTCATAGTTTGTGTGAAATAATAAGAGGTTTTGTAGAGGAAAAGACTAACATCCCATGTTTTCTGACAGTATTTGTAAGATAATTTTAGCATGTGACCCTATTACTTTCCAGTCTTTTTTGGTTGTTTCGTCCACAAAGAATGTTTTTTGTTACTAAGTCCCCTCTTTTTTTTTTTTCGGGAATGTTCTCACACTTTGATGCTTTTAGCCAGATTCTCCTTTCTTTTGACTGGATTAGGGACATCATTGGGACCTTAAGGGGTGGGCACTTGTTTGTAAGTTGAAATAATATTGCTCTTATCTCCATTTAATTCTGTATTAAAAATATTATATTATACTAATAGTGTAAATCATTTTTACTGTATGCGTCATTAATCTGTTATAGTAGGTTGTTTGCTTTATTCTTTATGCTACTATTGTCGCTTATTATTGGACAAGTACATATTAGTAATTATTTTGAACATGACACGATAGTCGTGTAGAAATTAGACGATTTACGGGTTTAGTTGTTACGGTTGAGTTCGTCTTAAGCTCATTTCATTTTATAGAAAATCACACTATGTACGGGTAAAATCGGGATAGAGTTTTTTTCGATTTCTCGATGAGAGAACGAAGGGGAAACACGGCTCGACGTGATTAAAATCAAGCCCAGGAACCCCTTGATTGAGACCCACGAAGGATGAATGACGTATCTGAGATCAGATCACGGCAAAGCGATGTATCTCGGACCGAGTAGGGCTTCTGAACCTCGGGAGACGCGGTGAACGGTTATGCATGACTGATAGGGGGCCGTAATATTCGTCCTCAGCCGGATTTTACGGCGCGA